AGCTTTCATGTCATAAATATATTTTAACACATGTGACCGGAAATAAAAAATTCTTTTTTTCTCTCTTTTTGAGACAGGGTGTCCCTATAGCCCCAGCTGGCCTGGAGCTTGCCATATAGACCAGACTGGTCTGTATCTCACAGATATCTGCCTGCCTCTGTCTCCTGAGTGTTGGGATTAAAGGCGTGCATCACCATATCCAGCTAAGCATACAATTCTTGTCTTTCTGAGTCTTAGTCCTTCCCCTGAGGATTACACTGTACCACAATTCTACCTCAGATTACAGATTCCAGTGTACAACCTTCAGTTTCCATATGTATTGCTTCTTTCTAGCTTTAATTTAGTCATTGATAAAACATTAAATATGATGAATCCAAAATTCTGCCAGGAAACAATCCAGTCTGAAATTATTCCACTCATTAACCTAGTTCTGAATAAGTCTAGTACTTCATATGTTTTCCCATTGTTATCCATAGGCCTCTATAAAGTATTTTCAAGTAATTTAAATGTCAGACATCAGGGACACAATAGGAAGTAGCCAAAGAATTTAGGTTTTCCTATGCTCATCGCATAAATTTTTACTTGAGGTATATTTTGTGGCAATCATTCTGTTGTACTCTGGTGATAAGTTACATAAGACATTGCTATCAGGAGTTTACCAAGATCCAGAAAAAGATAATTACACATGATGAGCTGTGGAAAGAATAAGGAACCTAAGAGTCAGGTGTGAACTGTGGAGATGAAGAATGTGATTTTCTAAATTAGACTGGCAAAATAAGGAAAGAGTGCTGGAAAGCAGCTCAACAGTATAGTGCTTGCCTAGCATACATGGGGCCCTTAGCTTGAGTCCCAACAAAACGCACAGAGAGAGAGAGAGAGAGAGAGAGAGAGAGAGAGAGAGAGAGAGTTAAGAAAGGTTTCCCAAAGGTCATAAGGTTTAAAATTTGAGTGGAGTTTGATGTCATTATAGAACTGTCAGAATAAAATTCTGAGTATTGCTGGGTCTACAGGTGTGGTATTCTAGAAAGGTCTAGGTATAGAGACTGAGGAATCAATAGTGAAGAATTGGACACTACAGCCACAAATTTGAGAAAGACCACTGAAGTCAGAGTTAGCTAACCCAGTGAGAAAGCACTGACACTTTGAATACTACCTAAAAGGGAAGAACACCTGCAGAGATGTAGAAACGCACAGAATGAGAAGTGACTCGTGCACTGGGAAGGCTCAGGGCCAGGATGGAGAAGGTAGGAAAGGAAACATCAAAGTCTACTCACCACAAATCTTTGGTGTGGAGACAGCAATGTGAACCATATCTAGAAAGCCATGGAGTTCCTGCAACATGGCGGGGGCGGGGGGTCTCAATATTGGAATGAGCTAACTAAATGCAAGATTTGGAAAACATCCTAGGGACATGTGGAGTACAAGAAACAGGAAGTCTGAAACAGGATCCATCCCAGACTATAGGGAGGAATCATTCAAACAATGCCCATAGAGGAATAAAATGAAGAGATTCCAGGGGTAGCAAAGACCTGGAGCTGCTGAATCTTAGTGGCCGCTAGATTTGAGAAGCTAACACAGAAAGAAAAGACCAAGGTTGACCCCAGAATGGCAAAGGAGGTGCTGGTGCACTTGTTGGGAGAGAAGCACTATATTAGAAGTGTTGCAGAGAAGTTCTCAGTGCGTGTTTTACCATTCTGATTCGAGGCTTGGGTCAAAACAAGATACTCAGGATGCAGAGTGTGGCCCTCTAGACAGGTCTGAGCTAGACATAAAGACCTGGAAGGTAACATTGAGGGATCTGGGCTAAAGACATGGATCTGGGAAAAATCTCTCAGGCAGAACAGAAAATCACACTGAGCCATTGCTAACTCCCTCCTGTTATTTTAAAGTATGTATTCTGTATTATTTTGTGGGGGAAACTATTATGATGAAAAAAACAAAGATTTACCTCTTACTTACTATATATAAACTAGACAGGTATAGATACTCCTGTTGCTTAATGAATGTCATACCAAAAAGGTTTAAATAAATCACAATTTCATGAGGCAAGAATTTTAGCACATAAAGAAGTAATATATTTATCTATCCTTGACTTCTGAGATTTCTACCCCTAAGTGCCTCTCTTAATGAAGATTCCATAAAAAATTTACACAAAATAGAATTTAGATTTTCTAAAACACAAATAACAAAAAGTTCTTTCACAGCATATTATTGTGGCTGAGATTCTTAACCT